ATATATATTATATTTTCTTTGCTCTTGATGAAGCTGAGAAAGGATATCCTTTGTCACTCACCCATGCTGCTGTGAAGTAAAAACCATTGGGACAAACGCAAGTCGGGGCGGGAGGAGCAGGGAATTTGCCCTTCCTTGCTGAGAGGGAGCTGGCAGGAGGACAGAGAGAGAAGCTAAACACCCAGGCCACGCCAGGAGAGAGCTCCCCAGGCAAGGCGGCGTGGAGGCTGCGACCTCAAGGAGCGCTCGGCATCTCGCAGGCACCAAGTTTTGCCCTTGGGATTTGCTGGTGCTTTGCTTTGCTCTGCTTAGGGTCTGGGTTAGGATTTTGAGGTTGAGAAGAAACCCTGCTGTGCCCTTGCATCACCCTGGGAAGCATCACCATGGCAGATTTGGCGGCTGCCCGGCACCCGTTGTTTCAGAGGCCAATGGGAAGGGTTACATGTCCATGGGGATCACTGCGTGGTCAGTCAGTCCCTCTCTGCCTCACTCCCCCCGGCACCCAACCGGATGAGGGATGTAGGTAGCTGTGTGATGCTCTGAATGAAGGACGATGAGGCGGTCCTTCTTTCCTTTCCCCACATCTCCTTTCCAAATGTGACCTTCAAGAGTGTTGTCAGCAGTTCTTGGAAGACACCAGACCCTGTAATGTGAGGAGAGACGGGACCCAAACGAACTGTCAGGAGACTTTGAGCATCATCTTGTCCCATTGAGATTTTCCTTATTACCATCGCTGTGGCCGAGCCCACCACAGTGGACATACAGTCGCTGACTTTCACGAGTCTCTTGCTCCCGTAGGCACTCAGTGAAAATCTTCAGCTTTCACTTCTAGCCCCAAAGAACCCCAGCTAGAAACTTTGCTCCCCGTAGTTGGTTCCCAGAAGCTCAGCTTGGCAGCCTGGCCCTAGCCCCACAGAGGCAGCGGGTAGGGAAGGTGCCTGGCTCCAGCTGGGACCATCACTGATGGTTTTGCGCTGCGAAGAGGCAGAGAAAAGGGACAGAAAGAGGAGAGCAGAGAAGGGACCACAGGCACCCCGGTGCAGCCCCAGGCTGGGACCAAGAGACCCAAGGCTGCCTGGCTGCATCCTGCATGGCCTGTGCTGGTGGAGCCAGGCTCCAAGCCACGGTTTCTCCAGCACAAGAGCGATGGAGAGAGGGTGACACAGTGTGGAGAGACCGGGGATTTTCAAGGCATCCTTTGGTTTTCTCTAGCTCCCACCTCCAGGATTTTTGTGAGGCATCTCCTAAAGTTATGGTTGGCTGGAGGACAGGAGCAGGGGCAGAGGCGCCTGGACATCCCACCAGCACCCAGGGACGAGATGCCTTGTCCTTCTCCAAGCCGTCTCCTGATCCCAAGAGTGTCCATTGCCCCATGGCGGGTCATGTCCTGCCTGCCCTGGCCTCGGCAGGGATCTGGGAGGGGAACGATGGGCCCCCATCTCCTCTTGCAGCAGGGACATGCTGACATTTCTGTTCCCATCACGCACGGGTGACAACACCAGGGGTTTTCATCCAAATGCACTGTCAGCTTGGAAGAGAGCTGCAATTTTTTTGACAGTGATCCTTTTTTCAATCAAAATTAAAAAACCCCAACAACAACAACAAAAACCCACAAGGATATTTTTTTTAAAAAGCCCTTTGAGAGTCTCCTGGCCCTGATGCCCCCCAGAAGGTGCAACTCGGGCAGCATGTCCTGCTCCACCAGCACAGGGGAGGGGAAATTCAGGGGTCTCGGCACAGCAGGAGCGGGGGCCACGGCAGCCCCCCACCAGTGGGGACGTGGGATGAGGGGCACACGCCGCGGGCGATCGGAGAATTCCCAGTCGCGGCATTCTGTG